GTTAATTTTCCTTACTGGGATAAAAGTCAAACTATCCCTCAGGCAATTCAGATCCATAAAATGCTAAAAATTAGTTCAGGTCCAAATTGAAAACCTTTTCAAACTTGGAATTAGGATGAACTTAAGAGTAACCATATTCACATTTCAACAGCCAATTATTTTGTGCATCTTTTAATTCATCTTTACACCAGTGAACATTCTGTTGACACAAACCAATTAACGTGAACTATGGTTTTTGAATACAGCAGCACATTCAAAGAAATCAAGTAAAATTAAATTCTTTTAAGTTTCCTGTTATGGGGATAAGAGTAACAGATACATTTATACAAAAAAACATAACAGCATTTCAAAAAGGAATCTAAAAGAAAATGCAATACAAGCCTTTATTTTATAATATGTATAATTATATAATTTATTAAAATTAATTTAACAATATACAAAATATTAGCAGTAATTTTTAGGTTCAAAACCAGAAATGTTGAGATGGCAATACTCTAGGAAGATCTTTTCCATCAACAATGTGATCTAGCTCACTAGTTCAGGCTGAACATTGACTCTTCGAAGCACTTCTTCAGGCATGCAAAAAACAGGACTAACAGGTTTAATCTGTTCTTCTCCCAAAAGTGACAATCCAGCAATGCCAAATAATGTATGAAAAGGATCCACCTATTAAAAAAAATTGAGACCATTACAAAATGAAAATGCCTCTAAAGTTAAAAATACTAAAAAAGTCAGTTATGCTTAAAATTTTTCTGAAACAGACTAACTTGTTGTTTACTACTTGACCTTTATAACATAATACTAAATTTTACTGAGGCCCCCAGCCTCCAAAACCAGGAAAGAGAATTACACATTCAATAATATAGGCTGCTATAAAAGAAAGCTGACTTTGGAGGTAAAACAAGGAATACAAGACTCAAAGGAGAATGCAGGTCATATACAGAGGCAAAGAACTGATGATGAGAAACTTGGATCCATATCATTCACTATGTTTTAAGTTATTAAAAAAATACACTACTTTTAAAACTACACTAGGTCCATGCACTGGATGTACCATCATTTCTACAACCATAAATGCCAAGAACCATGACATTTAATATTTTAAAAACTTTATACAAACAAACATGTTCAAAATATACTTGCCATGTCTCCTGGCCTATCTGCAAACCCTCCAGTTTCTTCATCTTGACATGCCAAAATGAAGGCTCTCAGTTTCTCTCTGTCAATCCAATGAAGCCTTCCAATTATCTTTAGGGAAGCCAATACCCACCATGAATAGCACACATCCGGTAACTGAAAGGGGAAAAGGGCACAAAAAATTGTCACCATTTCATCCTCTTATATTCTTAGTTTTTAGAAATATTTGTAAGTGAATAAAAGTCTCATTTTGTTAAAACAATGCAGGGAGAAATCAAAGATGTTACAAACAGACTGTTTGAAATGTTTCTTTCAAACTGATCACCGGAAAAGACCAATCTCCAACTCACTAGTTACCCATGCTGTTTCAGTTCTCAGTGAATAAGCATGCATATATCTTTATTAATATCTAACTTAGCACCTTAACCAACAAGCCTAGTCTAGTAGTAAAGGCTCACAAAAACCCATTTTCCACTTTCCTAGGTAGAGTATTTTTAACAAATATGGTCCAGGCAGTTACACACCTAAGCCCTGAAAATGTGGTCACCTGAGTGTAAGAAATGCAGATCCTACACACAACAGTTTGCATTTTTAATGAACTCCCATAAGGGTTTATATGTACATTAAAGGCTGCTCCAGATTCATATGCAGGCTCTTGGTGCTGACAGCCACCCATTTTTCTTAATGAGGTCCCCAGGATTCAAAATCAGACCATCTACATATCACTTGTGGGTATTTCCCTAGCCATTACTGTTATCCAAAAATATTTACAAAGCAAAGTTTAAAAATACATCAAGTCAAATGAAATGCACCATCATGCCCTAGTTCATGGGTCAGGGGCACAGCAAACCTTCAGAAAGATGGGGAAAAGACCTCCCAAAAGTTCAGATGTGAGACTATAAATAACTTAAAACTATGTGCATTTAATGGGGTCTTACACGAGTACTGGAGATGGTTCCTAGATTTGTTCATGAGTCAAATCTAGACTATAACCTAATAGTTTTTATATCATAAAATACAAATGTTATCCCACAATAATTTTTAATGTAACACTGCCAGACTCTTATTTCTATGACTGCATTTGCAATAGGACAAATTGTTCTGCAAGCAAAACTGCATACCAGCAAAATCAAAACACTGGCTGACTATCCTACATCCAAAATGCTTGGGAACGGAGTTTCAAATTTCAGAATATTTGCAAAAACATTCAAAAACATGTTTCATATATAGTTAAAACATATAGACAAGTAATGTTATACACCATTTTAGTGTGCTTGTGTTTTGGTGGTAATCTGTCACATAGGTTAAGTGTGGAATTTTACACTTTGTAGCATCATATAGATCTGAAGCTTTCAGATTTTAGAACATACTGGATTTCAGATTATGGATACTCAATCTGCATTCAGTATGGCCCTTACAGACTTAAGATTTAGAAGATAACAGTAGGAAAATTTCAGTAACCTTACCTCTAAAAATGTCAAAATTTGGGTTTTCCCAGAAAAATGTCTTATGTTTTCAAACCTCAAAACTGGGCAAAATCAATTGTGCTTTCAAATATATGGGCATGGAGACTTATGTATAAAATGTGTCACAGTAAAGCCTTTGGCTATCAGCTTTCACCCCTTCAGTGCATGTCTGATGCCCTGGTATAGGTCCCTGAACTAAGGTTTAGAAAAGGTTTCATTTCAAAGCCTGAAAAATACAAGGCCTTCAGATGGGGAGGGGGGGGGCGGGTAATCCTTCTAAAAACTTACACTGGGGGATGGGGAATAGTGGTGACTGATGATTACACAACAATCCTGAAAATAGATACCAGGGTCATTAAGAATTTCTTCTAGAAGGGTCTTTGTTTTGCCAAGGACTGTAATTTTGGGGGGATATCATTTAAAATTACAATGCAGCAAAGTTAAAGCTCATAATTGATCAACAGCAATATTGAAATGTGATGACAAAGAAGCAGTGTCTGCTTAGGGTTAAACAATTAGTAATGCTAGAACACAGCTATGAAACTATACCTTCTCTGGCCTTCCATTGAGTCCTCCTGAAGGTAACTGACGTTCACAAAGCCACCAACCAAGTAAATCAGAATTTACTTGATGCAACTGACTAGTAATAGCCAGAAATCCTGTGCAACAATAGATCTAAAATTACAGACATAAAGTACATGTGTATAATAACTTCTTGATAGCAAACGTAATTAAAAAAAATCATTCAAACTGTTTAAACTCTATTTTGTATTTAAGTTTTATTACTAGGAGCCAATTCTGCCCTGACACAATATTGTCAAAATTTCTTCACAGCCCATTTCCACAAGCATTTACACATACAATATTCTTGGCAGAATGTGCTTACTCAGAAAAACATTATGAGGACTTAATCTAATTATGTTCTACCTAATCAGAGGTATCTACTAAGAAGGAAGGTATATACATGGGACAAACTATTGTAAAAATGCTTTCCCCTCTTGTAGCACTAAGCAATTCTTATGTAATATCCCACATTACAATCAAAATTAACTTCATTTGCATTCAACAAATTTACTACAAATGATCTCTTCAAAATGGACACTGAATCATAATCAATATAAATTACCTGTCCAGCATGGGATTCAGAACCAGGTCGACAACCAAATCCACCATCAAAGTTCATACAGGATAAAACAAATTCGATTGCCTTTTCAACATTAATAGCATCAAGTTTCCCCTATACACAGAAGGAAAAGAAACTATTAAATTCCAGAATATTCACGAATGTCTATAATCATTTCAATATCAATAGTCAAATCTTACCAACAGAGCCAAAGTTGCCACTGCACAAAAGGAGAATCTTGTATCAATTTCTCCTAAAACAAAAATGGATTAAACCAACATGTTACCAGAGGCTTCTGATCATAACAGTTTAAGTTATCTTAAAAACAATGTCAGACAAATATCTCAAAATTTCCAGAAGTTTAAGCTTAACTTTTACGTTGTATAGTCAGAAGTAAACTGAAGAAACTAACAAAAACGAACAAAAAGAGTAAATTATCTTAATTTACTTACATAGAACTGAAAGGGTTAGTAATTTCTAAAATGCAATAAACTTACCCTATTTTACAAAAGTAGATTTTCATATCCCATGAAGCAGCTGGTCTCTCTGGTCTGCACTTGTGTTCAGCCCTAAAGCAGAGATTATCTACATTTATCAAATAAACTACTATTCCCTCCCTCCATTCAAATATTCAGAAATTTTGTTATTTTTTTTGGTTCTCTTTCCATCAAAAAAATTTAAAACTTTACAAAACCACCAAATACTGGGGGGAAAAAAAATGTCACCTACCTTATCTTTTTAGATTGGGCCCCTCTGTTCCAGTGCTCCTGTATGCTGATATAACTACCACAGGGCATGCTGGAACCTCCAGGCCATTAACTCCAGTTAGACCAGCTGCTTACTGGGACCTGAAAAGATGAAAAACTTAATCTCCTTATAAACTGATTACTACCAAGGCCAGGATATACTGATATTCAATTTATGGTAATATGGACAAAATCTGACATTACCCCAAATGTCTCCAGCAAAAGAACCATCTTCTTTCTGCAGACTTTGAACATATTCCACAACTTTATTTACATCAATAACATTAATACTATCATAAAGAGTAAGAATCTGTAAGAAAGATAAATGAATCTGGTAAGTAACCTTTCAAGTATGTTCTTTTGCAGTTACTTTCTAAGATGTTAAACAATCATGTCCTTTGTCTATATAAACCTTTCTCAAAACATGCAGACTATCCTGTTATTAAATACATCAACCTAAGTAGACTTCAATATTAAATTCTCATTATTTTCAATGTTACATATAGTGAAGAAAAAAATTTTACCCTCAAGGTCTCAGTGTAATTTTAGAATTCACATCACTTTGCATTCAGATAATACATGCCATCACATCACTGACCTTGTGGGAATGACTTCACTTAAACAGAACAAGACTTTTTAACATTAACATCCTAATCATCTTCCTAATACAGTTTCAATTCCTGACTCTTGAGAAAAGAGAATACATTATTGAGACTATTGAATCTGAAAATTTACCTGGACAGCACTAAGAGTATACAAAAGATGAGGATCATGTCCAATGCTTGCACTTATTCCACCACACTCATGTTGACATGACTTAATAAACGTCAGAATCTCTTCTCTATTCATCCGATCAAGTTGTCCCATGAGATCCATTACTGTCAGACCCCAGTAGACACCACTCATTCTCAAGTACTCAGACATACAGTATTCCTAAAACAACAATTTCTTAAATGTGTCAGTTTGAATTTATGACAGGTTAAAGAGATTTAACACTAATAGCTGGCTTATAAACTGGGTTAACCAGGATTAATTCACCTGTTTGAAAACTTAGGGCAAACCAGAGCTTTAAAAAACAACAAAAAAAGATCTGTTTATATCAGTAAATTTCAGTTTATCTTTCACAATACCTATACTACTTATCAGAGATCCATTCTTTTAATGTGAATGTAGCACAAAATCTATTATCTATAAATTTACAAAAATGACCTAAAAACACAGAAAGTAGATGTGCAGATAGATGCCCAGCTCAAGTAGTAGATAATCAAGACTTAAAAATTAATATGGATTCCAGAAACAATTTTTTTAAAAAGTATTTTTAGTTATAGATGGACACAATACCTTCATTTTATTTATACATGATGCTGAGGATAGAACCCAATGCCTCATATGTGCTAGGCAAGCACTCTACCACTGGGTTATAACCCCAGCCCCAAACAAAAATTTGCTACACTCAACAATGCATTATTTTAGAGATTGTAAATCAGATGAGGATCTTAGTTTGCTGCCAAATCAAATCCAGGGTTCAAAGGAGACAATTCATTAAAAAGGAACATCAAGTTTCATGCCTCTTAAAGTCACACTGGGGAAATTGAAGTTCTGACTTAAGTTATCTTATTAAGAAATGTGAAACTACAGGGTTGAAAACCTAAAACTTAGGAGTGAAAGTTAATAGCAGATGTTTGTTTCCCAAGATGGCAGAAAACTAGCTATTCAGATAGTATAGCCAAACTGTTCACTACTTCTTGCTAATATTCTCACGGAGCCAGATAATCTACTTAAATTATTGTTAAAAAGCTTGAGGCAACGCTGGGCCTGGTGGTGCACACCTATAATCCCAGGGGCTTGGGAGGCTGAGGCAAGAGGATTGAAGTTCAAAGCCAGCCTCAGCAACTTAGAGGCACTAAGCAAATTAATGAGATCCTGTCTCTAATAAGATATTTTTTAAAAAAGGACTGGGGGTGTGGCTCAGTGATTAAGCCCACCCCCACCCTCAACCAGTTACAAAAAACAAAAAAATTGAGGCAAAATTTTCTCAAGGTCTCAGTGTAATTCTAGAGCTAAGTATTACACATCAGCAGTAAATTCAGGTAATACATGCCAATACATCATTGACCTTGAATGTATACCTCAATTGCAAAAACAAAAGCCTATTTTTTACCTTATACTCTTATCTTCTTTGTCTGGCAAGGTCTCTACTTATGGGTAAGATCATGGTTGAGTCTGCCAAACCACCAAACTCAGATATACAAGCAACACATATTAAACTTTAAGGGCAAATCTTCAGTCCTCTGCACAGAGGATACCACTTTAACAAGACATAAATACTGCTATATTGCTTAGATATGTCAGGCTTCTTTATGACTTTTGAACATAAAAATTCATACATACATAGTCATCTTTCTTTGAGCCATAGGATGCAATATAATCTGCATGTTTCTCCAGTAAAAGGGTGACAGGTGCATCAGACTTGATGATAACATCCTTCTGTGGTGTGCCCTTTCAAAAATAAAAAAGCAGCAATCTCATCAATGTTTACTCTGCCCCTTAGCATATATTCAATTTACACCTGAATTTTCTCACTGAAAATTTTCCAATTAAAAAAATCTCAGGTATCTGTTGTAAATGTAACTTTTTAAACAACCAGTCAAATTCAGGTATTTTTCAGGTCTCAGAGTAATTCTAGAGCTAAAGTATTAATGATCAACTTTTGATTCAGAATACATGCCAGCTCATCATTGACCCAAAAATTACCACTTGCATTTATTGTTCCTGTCTTTCACTCAGTTAAGTAAAAGCTTACCAAATGGGGAAAACTTAACACGTGGCAGAAAGCACGCAATTTTTTTCTTAATGTCTGGGTGGGAAATAATTTGCACTCCCGTTTAATCAAACTCAGGTTTCAAAGCACCCTCTACTCTCATAAACCATTCCAATAATGAAGTATGCAATCCCATTAACTCCTTCACCACCGTTAAGCTCAATCCGAGTATTTCAGACAATCCCCAAATAATGTAGTTATTAATTTTTCCATATATCTACACCTTTTCATATACCTACTACTGAGCTGTAGTTACCAGAAGTATGCCACGGAAATGACCAAAAATAAAACTGAGTAGCAAATTTCCTTTGGATTCCATTTAAAATTTAGGAGATTTCCAGGTATCCAAGAGGGTGAAGCATAAGGATCTCAAGCACAAGGGAGTCTGGGTAATTTTTTCCACTCGTGTCTTAAAATAAAATTAGAAAGGACTGGCTTGCATAGCATGCACGAAGGCCACGATTTAAACCCCAGGACCAGGGAAAAGAAAAAAAAAAATTGGGAGGCCTCATCGCTAACGATTTCTAAAATTTACTCGAACCCAAAACTAATTACAACAAGCACGGAAAAATGTATTTATGTACACAGAAATTAATAAACACGGAGGGAAAGTCAGCCATCAGTGAGGCTTTTTTTAGAGGAACCAAGAAACGCCGCCACTCAATGCAAAAGAGGCTCGCCCAAAAGGATGAAGCCTACGTAAAATTAGAAGCGGCAATTGCGCTTGAGAAATTTGCAGAAAACGCTGAGTAATACTTTAACCTGAGCCCTCAGAAAGTTCCCAAGGCCCGCGCCTTAACCTAACCATTCTCTAATACTAGACAGATAACCTATAGCAACTAACTGCTCAACAGTACATATTATTTTTCTGACCACTCTGAGAAGCCCCGTAAAGACCATCCACACTCACCATGTCTGAGAGCGAAAAGAGAGAACCTACCCACTTCCTGCGTAGACTTATGATTCGCGCGCCTGCGCAGTAGCTTCCTTGAGGCCCCCACCACACCCGACATAGCTGCCCATATGCCCGCCTGAAGGACACAGCAGTTCCCTGGCTGCTCTAGGACCCCACTGGTTTCTCATAGGTGTCCTCATTGCCTGCGTCTTAAATTTTTGGCTCACCTTTTCCCGTCGTAAGATCAGTTAGATTTATATGAAGCAGTTTTAAGTAACGTTGAAATATCTGAACGCTGTTAAGAAACTATTTGTTCTTTAAATGCTTAAAAGATGTGTAATGGCGGTTAATTAGAATGCCCGCTTGCACGTAGTAAGTGTCCATTCCTGTATTGCCTTCTGCTCCCCAAAGTGCTTAGTAATTAAAATACTTAGATATTATTTCCAAAAAGAAATTGAGATTTCTACAGAATTCTGATTTTTTTTTCTCTCGTGTGTTGTCTTCCACGCTAAAGGTTTTTGTTTTGTTTTGTTTTGGGGGTACTGGGGATTTGGTACTCAAGGTCACTTGACCACTCACCTACATACATCCTACCCTCTTAATTTTGCGGGGTGTAGGTGGGGGGGAGACAAGGTCTTTGCCAACGAGCAGAGGCTGGCTTTGAACTTGCGATCCTCCTGCCTGACCTCCTAAATCGCTGGGATTACAGGCTTGCGCCACCAAAGCCGGTCACACTTAAGCATCCTTTAGAAGTATTCCTGATATGCTGATACACATGAACTGTCAAAAATTGAGACAAACTGTGATGATGAGCTTCATTATTTTTCCCTATCATTCTGTTGATTTTCCCATTTATAATTTAGAACTGCTTTGCTAAATGCATCTAAACTTGTTTGGTGATTCGTTTGGTGAATTGAGCCTTTATCATTAGGTAAGGACTATTTCTGTTTCCAACAATGTATTTTATCTCAAAAAGCTTCCTCTGTTAGATATTAATGTAATTTTCCTAGTTTTCTGTTGGTTAGTAATTACTTCCAGGGGATTGTTTGTTTGTTTCAATTTTACCTTTTAAGCTTTCAGTATTCCTATGTTTTAGAAAATGTCTTGTAAATAGAAAGTAGTAGATTTTTTTATTGTCTACTTTTAACCAATAACTTCAGTCCATTTATATGTATTGTGACTATTTATTTGGATTTATATTTAACTTTTTACTTTGTATTTGTTATTCATTTTCTAAACTCTGTTATTTTTTCTTCTTGAATTATTAGGGATTGAACCAAAGGCCTTCACATA